AATCTTTAAAAAAATATCACTCTGAATTCTGCTAATTTTAAGAAAAGCACACTGAAATAGTTAAAGGTAATGGAGCATCATGTAAGTAAAAACAATGATTTAGAAAAACAATGTGTATATACACGTGTGTGTGTGTGTGTGTGTGTGTATGAGAAAGAGAGTGAGAGGGAAGGATGGAGAGAAAATGAGTATGACAAAGCAAATGCAGTAAAATGCAAACACTGGGGGAAAGTAGGTGAAGGGTATCAGGACTTCTTTGCACTATTCTTGCAACTTTTCTAGAAGCCTGAAATTATATCATTCTAAAAAAATACTTAAAAAAAATGCACCCTGGATGAAGCATGATATATTTAACTTTATTTTCATTCTGCTCTGTGACAATCCCAGGACATAATTAAGCAGACTTAGATAGTAAAGGCCTCCTAGTCCTTTGCTAATCCATTCACAGGGTTGGTGGTGGTGACGCAGGGTACAGATCAGAGGTGACCCAAGGAGAGGGAGAGGGGAGGGACAGAGAAGGGAGGGAGAGAAGAGAAGGGTCAAGCATCCTTAGCCCACTATTTTGCATCAGAGTTTAGAGGAGATAATAGACTCTCTAGGGTGGAGGGAAGCTAAGGAAACGGGAGGTGGAGGTAGGGTGGGGAAAACTAAACTGCCAACATTCCAGCCTCTTCTCAATCGGGTGCTCATAACATGCATTGTGCATCTGTGGTTCACAGCACCGTCAATTTCCCGAATAAGATGTATTTTTTCATCTGCAGCAATGTAGGGGTAATGACAAAAACCAGGGATTCTTTCAGTTAAAATCTGTGAGGAACACTAAGGTTTGTTTCCTCCTCTGCTTGTTATTTCCACAACTATTGTCACCTGCATGAGACAACAGAGATAATAAAACTGCAGTCGTTTGATAGGGAAAAAAAAATCTGTAGGATCATGCAGAAAGTAAGTTCTTGCCGGAAAAAACCCAGAAAACTTCCTGCTGCTAAAGGACAGCTACAACTAATACTTGCATTTCTTACACTGTGGTTAGTATTAATGAGTATTATCTCCTTTTGTGTCTACAGGTGAGAAAATGCAACATGGCTTAAAAAGACCTTTCGTCAAAAAAAAACAAAAATCACACAATGAGGGTGCTGTCATGCCATTAAAATTGGAATTTCCCTCTGTACTTGTTTTTGTTTTCCTTCATAGTGTACAGGCCAGGCAAGGTACCTTCTGGCTATACTCTGGGCTTTGTAGAAGCTTCAGGGGCTGCTAAACCCAGAACTCTCTCCTGAGGCGTTCCTTAAGAGAAGACTGGCCCTGTTCACAGCTCAGCTGACTGGATCAGGGCTCGGTGCTGGGCCCAGGGCAATCCAGTCAGACTGACACAACAGCCTAGCTCAAAGCTTTGCTTTCTGCTTCACGAGGATGCCTACACCAGTCAGCGCTGCTCCTGCAGAAGGTCTGAATCCGAGTAAAAGAGCTCACTGAGAGGCTGTCCTGGAAATGGAGGGACGAAGGGAAATGACAATAAGCAGGATTCATGAATAAGCAGAAACAAGCCGGTGGAAGCCATGAGATGAAGAGGAGAGGGAAATGGTAGCAGAGGCACAGCCAGAGAAAGCAAGCCGCCATCATGTCACGCACCAAGGACGGCAAAAGCCAGCTGCGTTGGCAGGAGCGGTTACCAGAGCTGAGCTGGTGGCTAAGGTGGTAGGCAAAGTAAGCCTCCTGCTGGATTCTGATGGACACCCAGTCTTCGTGAGGCCTGTCTATGCAGCTGCGGGGACCGTCAGCCTTGTTCTGCCTAATTTCCCGAAGCAACCTCCACAAAGTGGTACCACTGTTAACTGAAGAAACCTGACCGAGTCCACTCCCTCGTGGTCTCCCCGGCCCCACCGCACAGCTCTTCCTGTCATTCTCAACGATCTGTCTCTGTCCCTCGCACCCGGCCACCTGTCTTCTCAATGGAAGGTGTCCCTTCCTCACACAATTCAAGCTTCTCTTAGACGGCTATAATCCAGAATTGAAACATAGTTTTGCTGATTGAATGCAGTTTTCATTTTCCCGATTCTTTTTTAAAAAAGGCAGGCAGGGGCAATGCGCTTCACCAGTGCCATCCAGTAGAGTGTTCTGTGATGCTGGACAGGTTCTGCATCTGCCCTGTCCCTAGTATGTGGCCATGAGTCATGTGTAGCTAATGAGTCATGGGGTTCTGCTACTGAGAAAACAAAATTCTAATTTAATTTTAATTAATTAAAAATTAAATGGAAAGAGCCACACGTGGCTAGTGGGTTACCCTGCTGGAGAACATAACTCTGCGCTATTCTTCCTTAAAAGAATATGGAAGGGAAGGAAAGGGATGGATTTTCCTAGTCTGTCTTTATCCAGTCCTGACCCAAATAAGTTGATTATTTTACTTCATAAATATACAGTTCTCGAATACTTACTGAAGATTTCATCATATGTGGTTCGAGGGCTACCTGCATTAACATCCTTTGGGGTCCTTCAAAGTGCAGATTCATGGACCCCAGGAACCTGCAGTTTTAAAAAACTCCCCAGGGCGTGAGAACACCTGCTTTACTGAACATTCAGATAATGATGCCAGAGGGTCTTTCTTACCCCCGTATTCAGCAAAAGGAGTTGACAGAGTGATCATGCAGTTTCCGTCTCAATTCAGAATGACTGGAAAATTAAGCTCAGCATAGGGGCGTGTTTGGAATTGCTATATGGAAATGTAAGTGATACAAATGGGTGTGGTATTTAATAGCTTCTGGTCTTCGGGAAAAATTTCAATGTACATTTTCAGGCTCTCTCAGACTTTAGGATGGTCTTACCCTTCAATGCTGATAAAAAGAGTGGGGACAATCTATGAAAGCATTAGTCTACTAACATCTTTAGAGGATAACAACATGTAGGAAGCACAGTATTTTGATCATCCAGTGGCACCTACCCCATTTTTAACTTAGGTGGAGGCAGTTTTCTTCTCATTTAATTTGGTTATAAGACTCTGAACCAAAATTGCTTTCTGCTGCAAAGAAAAATGCTTCTCATTAGCTTTTCCACTAAGGCCACTTTTTGCAAATCCAGTATTATTAACTAAATAATTGAAGTGACCTTAGTATGCAAGTTTAGAAACAATTTGGCACTGAGGTATAGGAGGAAAGTTAGAACAGTTCTCCATCATTTCAAAAACAGAAGTGATTCAATGCATTTTTCATCTTGATTCTGCGCAACTCCCCAAAGAGAGACGGCTGAAATGCTAGATTACAGTGTTAGCTTCATTGGGCCCTCAACCTCTTTCCCACCCCTCTTCTTTCCAATTTCTCTAGGTTTTACAAAGAACTGGGAAGTTTGAGAAAAATTAAACATGCCACAGCTTGCTCTAAACAGTTAATTAATTCATCAACAACAAAATCAAAATCTAGGGAATTACATGTTTTTCCATACAAATACTCTTATTTATGTAGACTTTTTGCTGGTCATATCTACAATATAGACATTAATATTCAGCTATGGTCAGAAGAAGTTCCACTGCACAGATGTATTAGGCCAATATATAGGCTGTACTATTTGATTTCTAAGATGGCCTCATTTGAGTGAAATTAAAAACCCACAAAGGTGAAAAATTAAAATGGTTTCTTTTTCTGCTGGCTGACAGAAAACTCTCAGAATCCAGCTTCCCTGTAGCTTTTCCGAGAAAAGAAAAACTTAGATGTTTCCTCACTATAATGTTGACTCAAGCTGAGGTATTTGGATTTGGAAGAAAGCAACATAAACTATAATATTAAAGCCTCAAAAGTTGATGTGGAAAGGAGAAAACTCATAGAGAACATATTTATATTATTATCAAATAGTTCTAGAGGAAGGAGTTTGTATAACCTTAAATCTAGCTCAAAAAATATACTGCAAAGAAAACACATTTTTTTGTAAAAGCTTTCAAATACGGATGACTGAAGTTCTGAGCACCTCTTTTTATAAACCTTTTTTTAATTAGCAATTTCTGAGACCTTACGGGCAGTGTTTCTGTCCAATCAGCTTCATTTGATTTTGCAAGGAGAAGCTGACCTGAAGCACCTTCTAGCAGCTTTGACTGGCTAGGTAGGCTCGGGTCAGAGATCTTAAAAGAGCTGAGAAGAAAAGACACACAGCCCTGTGACTGAAATTCAAGCTTGCTTGTGTGCTGGGCGCATGAGGCAGCACAAATACAGTCCATCTTTTGTTTTAACTGAATTGGCTTCGGGATTTCTGAAGCCAGGGGCCCTCATTATGGTAAAGCAGGTTAAACACTTTAAAAAGCATATTCTACAAACCTCATGAATTAAACCTGTTCTCAGAACCAGGAGGTAACTCAGCCCACTCTTTGTGTGACCAACTGAAATTCAGAATGGGAGTACAAACACCAGGGAGGGAGTGAACTTGTGCTTCTAGGTAACTTTGTATCCAATGGGGGGAAATAACCTGAAGAATGAAGAATCTTACTGTTTACATATGGAGCAGCGAGTCTATTAGTAACATTTTCTGACTGGCATTTACACACTATGTTTTACCTGGGGAGCTTTCGCTTCCATCATTCATCCATCACCACCATATTCCTGAGAGGCCAAAAGTGGCCCCCACATTGATGTAGGCAACAGCAAAGTCCTCCACATAACTCAAGGTTTTGGCAAATCACCCCCAAGACAAGGTGGACAGTTTCATTTGTTCTTTTCACCATGCTGGCAATTCAGCCTATTAACGTATCTTGTATTAAGAAGGAGAAGAAGGAAGAGGGCTCTTGCAATGGTGTCTATATCCTTCGATTCACTGGAACATTTAATTACTGAATATCCACGTGAGCAAGGAACACATATGGGCTAGCAAATAAAAAGCCTTCCCCACAAAAAAGTGTGTTCTCCATTTGCTTCAGAGTTATGTTACATTATAAAATCTTAAAAAAAAAACAACAACAAAAAAACCCCAGAAAGATATATATAGGCAGAAAATTCCCCAAAAACCCAGACGTTTCCATCTGGCAATAAAGACACAACCTTTTCAGAAGCAGCTGTCTTCTGCTTGTTTCTGTGAAGCATCTGTGACTAGAATAGGCGACATGCAAGAGATTGCCTTGTTTAGATGACGCCTCCTATCTGCAGAATAGCAGAGGTCAAGGAATAGCACAGGGAAAAAAGAAAAGCATCATCATGATAAGGTCTGTCCTAGGGCCCAGGGAAGAATCAGAAGTGGGCTGAGTAGCCCACACGGCAGCGGAGCTAAACGAGGGAGCGCGTGTTCTCTCCAAGGGAAGCAGCCACCATTCAGTTACACACACGAGATTCTGGCAGGGACGTGCGAGTGCAGCCAGAGTTGCTGATTTAAAAAAAAAAAGCCAAGAATCCAGACTTTGTGTAAAATCTCTCCATTTTAAAATGAGAGCAGCTAATCTGAAAAATGGCATGGGCCCAATAAAGCAAATCTGTGACTTAGCTACGGCCCAAGGTTAACCTTTTTCTAACGTCAACGAAGAATATATGCGTAGTTAAAATGATCTGCTTATAACTGAAATGGTTTACGACTGCATAAATAAAATACAATTTTGGCTAGGATCCAGTAGGTACCTGAAAATATGACTAACTGTATTCTCCTCAGGAGAATCTGTGATGAATGCCATTATGAACACAAGAGATTCATAAGACTCATAGGGGAAAAAAAGGAATCTGAAATATTTCATTGAAAAGATCTGTTCAATGTCTATTCATTATTACTTTCCAGGCAAAGTAGGTCACCTTACCTGTGCTTTCTTGAGAATGCTGTGCTCATCAGTGCTTGCTATTTGATAGACTTTTGCCATAACTATTGTTTTTCCCAAAGGCCCGCATGCTTTCTCCAGCTTCTGGCTGCAATCTTACATTTGGGACGGTAAAAATAGAAGACACTGTGGACAGAATAAAGAGTTTCCATTTATATATTTATAGATTATTTATAATCTTTCCTTGTAAAACATGGAGACTGAGATGCAATTCCAGATATCCAGCCCGTAAAACATCATGGTATGTGTTGGTCTCTGAAATGTCAAGTGGTAACAGCCACACATTGACACAGATTTGTACACACATCTGACAGCACGGTCTGCCTTCCCTTCAGAACCACAGGGCGGTTGATATTTGTGCTCATATTTCTCTGATCTAGAACAACGAACTTGGGTTGGAAACAACATATCTTACACTTCCTTCACGCCATTCTTTCATTTGTTCACCGGAGAAATATTTATGGAGCCTACACTGTTCTAGGTATTTTGGAATCCTGTAGCATATAAACCAGAATGAAAAGAAATCCCTGTTCTTGTGGATTCCATTCGGGGGAGACAGATGATAAACAATCAAACAAATATATGAACTAGCAGTAAGTCTTATGAAGAAAAATAAAGCAGGGAAGAGAAACTGGAAATGCTGCGGTGGAAGGAGGTCAGTGAAGGCTTTCTTTTCTTCTTCTTCTTCTTCTTTTTTTTTAAGTAGGCGCCACACCCAGCCTGGAGCCCAGGGCGGGGCTTGAACTCAACAACGCTGAGATCAAGACGGGAGCTGAAATCAAGAGTCAGACGCTTAACTGACTGAGCCAGCCAGGTGCCCCTAGAGCTTTCTGGATAAGGGACATCTGAGCAGAGACCCAAGGAGGTGAGAGAGCAAGCCAGGCACAAATCTAGCAAGCACAAACGACAGGAAGAGGAAACAGCAAGGGCTGACACCAAGGAGCAAGATGAGAAGCAGGCAAAACGGAAGACTACTGTAAAACGCAGGTGAGAGAAGACAGGGAGCACCGTGGGGCAGAGTGATGGCAGTGAAGAAGTGAGGAGTGGTGTGTCCTCGATCTATTTGGAAGGGAGCGCCAACAGGGTCTGTGGAAGAACTGGGATTGAGTGTGACAAAAGAAGAGGCATAGAGGACAGCTTCCATCAGTGGGAAGAACGATGTTGCCATTTATTGACATGGGGGAGAGGACAGATGGAGCAAGCCTGTGGGGAAAGATCAGTTCGGTTTTGGTGATATTAAGTTCAAGATGCCTACTAGAGGGCCAAATGGAGATGCCAAATAGCCAGCTGAATGCAAGTCTGGAGTCAGGGAAGGTGGGACTGGAGACAGAAATTTGGAAGCTGTCAATGTATAAATGATACCTAAAATCATGAGACTGAATGAGATCACGGAGGCTCTGGGGAGCGTATATAGATAGAAAGGCCTGAGGATTATGTGCTAGAGCACTCTAAAAGTGAGAGGGCTGGTAGATGAGGAGAAATCCACAAAGAAGTCTGAAGTTTAGGGTAGCAATAGGACAGCCGTGGGAGTGTCCCGTCCTGGAATCCAAGGGAAGGAAGCATTACTAGGAAGTGATAGTGGACAGTTGTGTTGAATTCTGTTGATGGATCTAGATGAAGGCTGGGGAAAGACCAATGGACAGAGACTTTGAGAACAACAGTTCCAGAGCCTTGTGCATGAAAGCCTTGTTCAAAAGGACTCACGAGAGAATGGAAGTCTAGGAACTAGCTGAAAGCAGTAAATACATGTGAACTGGCTGTGTTTGTTTTATTTTTAAGAAGATGGTGTGAGGCTACATTAATGGCTATAATGTTTTAGGATAATATACAGGATGTATATAGGAAAGAGTAGGAAAACTCACAAACATCAGAGCTGGAAAGGTCCTTAGGGATCACTGTGTCTCTAACTGAGAAATCAGGAACCCACTGAGACCAAGGCACTTGCCCAAAGTTGCCCGGCTAGCTCCCAGTGGGGCTGAAGCTAGAATCCAGGTGGTCTGATTCCCAGGCCTGTGCTCCACACACTGTACCAATTTGTTGCCCTTCTTTTACTGCAGATCTGAGTTTTGTGAATTAGCAAATGAATGTAATAAAATCAAGGACTCTGTGCTATGAAGTGTATTTTGTTCATTTACTTTGACAAGGGTAGTTCAGCTTCAATAATTTATGTAACTTGATAGTATACACAGGAGAATCCCCTGTGGTGTATTTCGGAAAAGTAATGAATTTCTTCTAAATCAGCCCTCCATTTACTTCCCTGCAATTAAATTTCTGTGAAGAAGTGGGGCAAGGCTGTTGGGGTTTCAGGACAGAGGGAGAATGACAGGCTGCCACCAGAATTAGCCAGCTTTAACTACCAGATCCCCAGGTATCACTATTCTTGCTTGATGAATGTGTAATTCCCCCTTTGGTGGTACACTAACACATCACTTCTAAATTTTGGTATTGTGTAAACTAGTGAGATTTTAAGGGGCGGTATATTAAAGAAAGATATTATATTGTTAAATGTTCTTCCAAAGCAAAGAAGAGTCTGACATAAGCATACAACTTCATTTTTATACGGATCCACGGAACAACCGCAGTGCTTTGTGTAACCGGGATTGTAACGACACCTGATACCCTTCTCACAGAGTCGGATATATTAATGTAGGCCAAGAAGGCTCAAGCCCACTTTTAATTTATTTTTGTTCCAATTTTCTCCTTTTAACCTGGTTTTGCTTTCTGCTTGCATACGTGTTTTCCTTTTGTGGATATTCTTTTTAAAACTCTATAAACTATCTTTAAGAATGTAAGCACTATGGACTGAACTGCGTTCCTCCCAAATTCATATGTTGAAACCTTAAGCCCCAATGTGATGGTATGTGGAGACGGAGTCTTTGGGTAGTAATTCGGGTTGGAGGAGGTTGTGGGGGGGCACATGATAAGATTAGGGGCTTTATAAAGAGGAAGAGAGAGGGAGAGACTGTTCTCTCTGCCTGTGTGAGGATATAGCTAGGTGGCTTTCTGCAAGCCAGGGAGAGGCTTCACCAGGAACAAAATCTGCCAGTACCTCCATCTTGGACATCCTAGCCTCCAGAACTAAGAGAAATAAATGCTAGTTGTTTAAGCCCCCACAGGCTAAGGTATATTTTGTTATAGCAGCCTGAGCAGACTAATACAGTGAGGTTCCTGGATTTGATGAATCTAAACCAATACTTCATTGCTTAAGACAATCCATTTTATTCATTCATTCATTCATTTTTAAGACAATCCATTTATTGGTTCTGCAATACTTCTTCTCAGGTGGACCTCCTTCCAAATCTTCTTGTTAAAGGAAGCACATGAGGATATCACCCTCGCTGCTGCCATTTGCCAGGTGGTGAACTTTTATCAGACTCCACACTAATGGGAAATATAATTTGAATAATTTCTAAATATAGTCTGCAGAATATTAACCTAGATAACAGAGTCCCCGGAAGAAGTCATTTCACCTAAAAGAACTAGTTCTCAAAGTATCCGAAGTCTAGGAATTTTGTTTTGTAAACATGTTTACAAGGACTACCACGTTGTTCTAAATGGAAATGACTACAGTATTTGATACTGGGATTGTCCTTTCTTGGGACTGGATTTATGCCTCATAATGATTATCCGTTAGACACAGAAATAGCATTTCTGTAACTCAAAATTGTTACCGGAGGCATTTAGCAGAATCTTGCTTTAAAAATATAATGATTTTTCATCTTTATTCTCCCCCCTTCAAAAGGTTTCACTGCTCCTGATGTTTAACGTTAATGCAAAGACGTGTTTCTGCCAATGAATATCGCCTTATGGTTATGCTTCTGCAAATAGCCTGCTGTGAGCTGATAAAGGGATTAATGCAGCCAAAATTCTTAATCTGTGAAATTACAAATTAAATTCTCATATTAAAAATACCACCCTGAGGTATTTTTTGTGGTTTTAATTCCCCTCTGGTGTTCTGCATACATTGTGCTTGTTAATGACGGGGACAAGGCTGTCTCTGGCGGCAGCCTGCTGCCGAGTGATAATGTGTAGGCATTTACTTCCTGATAGAAACTGGATTTAACCACTGGCTGATAAACTAAGTGGCAAGTGGGTAATAAGTCCATATTAACAGAAAAGTACTACCACAGAATTCAGAATTGGTAGACCATCAAAATCCTGGCTTAAACTCAATCATCGAGTCAGATGGGATTGAGATGTCACCAAGGAGGAGTGATATCAAGTTACAAGTTATACTAAATGGGAAAACAAACCATACGTTTGAATTTGATGAGCCATAAACTAATGAGCCCATTTGTATCTTTTTTTTTTCCAGTATAGAAAGATGTGCCACTAATTCATTATTTTTCCACAGAAATTTCATCTTTAATTAAAAAAAAAAATGGGAAGAGCTGTCATGATGGTCAATGGGTAGACTTTTAGAAAGAAAGGAGGGCAGAATATAGAATAAATATTGGTTAGGAATATGTAAAATGTTAAAGAAGATTTACTAAGCATAAGGGGGAGTAGTGAGTAGCGGTTTAATATATCTATAGACAGTTTAGAATAAAAAAAATTCAAATTAAATGTAGGATATCAAAAAAGATTTAGGGTAGAAATATGCAAGAGGAGTTGTTACTTGGGACTCAGCTACAAAATAAAGGGGTCCTGTTGTCAAGGAGAATCTAATACTACAATGGGGGGAAAGCCTAAAGTCCAAGAGATTAAAGAAATAACTTTCTGTATGTCTACGGTAAATGTGTACCCAAGGATTAATAAATATATTATAAATACCTATGCATGTAGGCAGTATATTAATTTTTAAGGTAGTTAGAAAAGAGTATGAGAAGGAATATTTCAAATTGGCATTTGGAAAGAACGCATCACCACTGAACCAAAATGTTCTTACTGCAAGTGTCTTGCAAAATTTCACAAGAATTCTGTTTCACACTTTGGAAGAAAGATGAGATCCTCCCAGCCATAAATCTCCCAAATATTTAAAATATAATTGAAAAAGGCTGTGTAAATATGAACGCTTTTGTAAAAACAAAACAAAAACCCACCCAGGAATGTGTTTTGTTTTAAAAGATCCAGAGAAGCGCTGTCTGTATGAATACCAAGAGCATTTGTAGTTGAAATGAATTACAAGTCTTCGGTTCTTACATGTCAATTCAGTGCATTAGCCAATTGCCAACTCTGCTTGTCAGCTCACTGCATAGCAGCCCTTTTTAACATTATTGTTACAACCAAGATGGTCTCTGAGAATCAAACAAAAATGAATCATTTCTTCTCTGTGTACTGCAGCCAGTTAAAAAGTACTGCATGCATAAAGCACTAAATATGTAAATCATATTTTCCTTTTCCTTTATGACGGCTCAGATCATTCTTCTGGACACAAACATAATCAAATACAAAGACATGCAGTTGCAGACTGCAGAGCAGAGATAGCAAAAAAGGAATCCATTTTCTTTTTCTGCCTGGTAAGCTAGCAACTGGATGGCAGGATTCCACTAAATATATACACACATGACTCCCTTTTCCTCATTCTCTCTCTCTCTCACTGGGTCTCCCCCCACCCCCATCTACAGATACACGCACATATATATGTGTACATGTAATGCATATGCAATCATACACAATCTTACATATGCACATATAAAAACATATGACTCCTCCTACAAGTACGTTACACACAGACGCTAAAATGATATGGCTGCTTTGATTGGATGTCTCAGATCTGTCATACTCACTATCGGTCAGTTCCCATAGCCGTGGGGGCAGGTCACTAAAATACTCATGGCTCAAGGCAGCCTGTGCTGATAGTCTGTTCTTTGGGGAACATTGTAGGAGCTTGGAGGCCAGATCCTCTGCATAATTCACATAGCTGAGCCTGAAAACACAAGCAAAAAAGAGAAATCAGACCAAACAAGAAAATCCACTGAATAAGACATAAAGCTCACCTAATTTTTCTGGACCTATTTATTCTTGGCCAAAACCGAGTTAAATTACCTGCTGAAAATAAACAGAAGCAGAATTCACTTTGGTTCTTGGGGCATCTGTTAATCTAAACTAGCTTTTATACTCTTGATATCCTCATCTCATTGATTGAAAATATTTCTACTATAAGCAAAAGGTTGATACTTTCAGGATAGAACAAGGTCCCGAGGTAGCGAAAATTTCAGGAGATAATTGATCAAATAGTTACCAGAATTTGTTCATAGAATCTACCTATTGCATACACATCTGGATACATTTATAAGAAAGTTAATACAAAATAACTAGGAGAATTAAAATAAAACTACTATTACGTTCTCTAGTTACTGAAGTTACTTTTCCTCTAAGAATTTACATTTTCTTACATTGAATATAAAATTATTGGCATAAGTACACCATCAAATATCAGCAATCATGCTATTAACATGCAGGTTAACAAAGGGAATGTGTATAACCCATATGGGGCTGAATTAATTCAAGATGACCATTGAAACAATAGATAGAAAATATGTGTCTCAAGATTACCAAAAAAGCAGAGAAGTCAAATCTCCCATGGGGTACAACTTTCAAATGCATACCAGACCACATAGTCCAGCCCAGCCTTACTTCTTGTAGAATCTCTATTTCATTGCTCAGCACAATTAAACCCAGATAACTAACACAAACATGATAATAGAAGTATTCCTGATAATGGCTGCCATTTATGGGTCATCAAACACGTGTAAGGCACCTTCCTAGGCACTTTCCACACAACGCTCATATTTATTTAGTCTGACAAGGGAACTCTGTCTCCATCTAATAGCAGTGCAAGCTAAGCGGGAGTCGGGAGTCGGAGAAAGGCGTGGACTGCTCAATTAGCAGGTTTAATTGCTAAATTAAAGGAATTTTTTAGCATTTAAACCCATCTAGAATTACTTGACTCTAAAGTGGTTTGCATTTGTTATCCTCTCAGATAATTTCTAAAGGCAACCCATGGATTCCTGAGTTTCTGCAACAAGCGCAGTAAGGACACTGACTCTCAGAGAGAGCTAATGAGTGTGAAGGCAAGTTGTATCTGCTGATGAGTATTTTTTCAAAGTCTTGAAGCTACTAAACACACAGCCAATGAATTTTCCTCAATAACCAACAACTCACCCGCTTCCCGTACTCAAGCAGCTCTTCAGCATTGATTTAAAATTGTTATGGCACAGGGGAGGACTGGGAATGAGGAAGAGGAAAGGAGGTAATGAATTTGGATAGAGGAAGAAACAGGGAAGGAGCAAAGAAAAATACTACTCTGAAGACCCCACCTATGAGGCCTCTCTAGGTCTTCATATGTGAAGGTCTCATAGATGGGTTCAGTATTTGGCTGTCGTAGTGGCTGTTTTTTTGTTTTTTTTAAACTGATCAGTGGATTAGTTTTAAATGTCTCTGCCAGGCAAAGACAAATTTGTGCATAGGAAAAGGAGGCATTCTCAAAATTCTCTATAGTTTTTTTTTTTTTCCTTCTTTCCTTTAAGAGGGGCCAGGGCCATCCAAATTATTGCTGCCTCTTCCTAAGACTCCCATTATTATAAACTTTTCATTAACATCTTTTAAAATACCAAATGCAAAGTTCGAGATAGGTAGACTTCATGGTAAAAACTGCACTTCTATTGAATGTACAGTTTATATGTAATCACGGTGAACACGATCATTGGTATCAGTTTGACACAGCTTTGATGAAACAACACCAGCGCCAGACTGAGGCTACAGCTGAGTTATGGGCTTGATTCTGTACAAGAGCAATGAACCACCCTATGTCCGCAGTCCCTCCGGCTCCAAGGAGCCACAAATCACACGCTGTATTGTTGCTGATCCCATTCCGACTAAATATAAGGAATTAGCCAATATAAGACAATCTCATTTCTCCTCCCTCCAAATGACTAATGTCAAACTTCAATGGTGATGAAATAATCAAATGCTTGTGATATTCAGGATATAGATAAAAATATTTTCATTATTACACAATTTTAATTTAGAAAGTCTATTTCTTCACTTGCATTTCAAGAACCACTTTTATTCCAACTGTCCACATTTTCAACAGCAGGGTCTGTCATTACCAGAACCACTTTTTGAGTTCATCCGAGTTGTTTGAGATAGGACACTTCCAGGATATCTTATCTGGGCATTTTATCCCAAAGCATAAGTGCATTTTATCAGAATGCTAGGATGATTGTGGTTGTTTTCAGTCTCTCATGGTGATGATCTATTTAAGAATCTTCCCTTGTAATTCGTTAATTTTTGTTTTATATATTCTAAAGCCGGGTAATTCAATGTGTAACAGTTTAGCACTTTTATCTTTTCCCGATAAATTTAGTCTTCAATCTCTCTGTAGCAACCTTCTTTATTTTCAATAAGGCTTTTGGGCTAAAATTCATTTTTTTCCCTCATATCAATTTAATGACATCAGCCTTCTTTTGCTTGGTACTTGCCTGGCATACCTTTGTCATCCTCTTACTTTTAATGTTTCATATCCATAATTTTAAGGTCTCTTTCACAAATATTATATAGCTGGATTTAATAGTTACCCAAGGAGAAAATTTAGTTCACTTACATATTGTGATTACTGGTATGTTTGGATTTACTGCTAACATTTTAATACTGCATTCTATTTTGTCCATCTTTTTTTCTCTTTTCCTGCCTTCTTTTAAATTGAATTTTAAAATCGAACATTTCCATCTTCTGTTTTAGAAGTTATAAATTCTATTTCCATCTGTTTAATGATTACTCTTAACTTTTTCTTTCTTTCTTTTTTTCCATTTCAGTATTTATTTAAATGTTTAAATTCCTACACTAAGTTTTTACAAGCTGAAGGACATTTACAAATTATTTTTCCCAAAGAACTAGAATCATACATTCCAGAAATTATAAATATATGATTGAACACTGATACACAGTACCACCTTATCAATTATATGACAAATTATCAAGTCTACAAATATTAAGTTACACAGATCAACAGGAAAACAAAATATCAGACACCTACTCAATTCATTAGCAGAAACTAACTTCTCTTTTTGCAAGAAAGATTGGGAGAGAAGGAAAAAAATTCACACTTCTATCAACAATGGCTGGCAAACAACCTCCAATAAAAATAGGAAAAAATTACAAATTTTCAGAAATTTTATGATTAAGAATTATTTGAGCTACAAGAACAAAGCATGTCTATCTTAAAAACAAATATTTACTAACAGGCACATTCAGTACATCCTACACGACATTTTGCTAAAAGTACTTAATAGCTCACTCCCACATTTTTCCACCCTCTCTTTTAACTTGCACCCCAAAGTGCAAACATTCAATTAACTTTAAGACGTTTTTGTCTGGAGACATTAAAGGTATGTGCTTCTGTTACAATGTGGATTTTACATGAACTTTTCAACCAGAGGTTTGTGATTTTCACAATGGAGGTTTTCATAATAGCACAAAATGAGATTTATAGAAAGACATTAAAAAATCATTATCAGACTTGGCCAAAAGCCAACAAAATCAGTGGTTACACAAACCTGTTTTAAATGCGAGAGGTATAAACATAAAGTAGCAGGCAAATAGCCATACAGGTCTTACTATCAATGTTTGAAATGACTGAAGGGATAAACCATAGAAGATCTAGACTGTTTTTCACAGTTCCTGAATTTTAATTCTGTATGATATTAAAAACATACAAGTATTGTGGCTGGGTATTTCGGCACGCAATCTGTTTATATTTTTTATATATTGCTAAGATTCTGGCATGTGAACAGATTTGAAGAAGACTTATAACTCAATACTGAACGCTTCCTGGAAAGGTCAATTGATAAAAATGATAAGCACGTTTTAAATGCTGAACAGCAAGCATCTTTTGCTAAGTTTCCAAACAGCCTGATGATAATCCAAACACAGAGGCTGCAATTCTGCCAAGCTTGAGGCCTGATAGAACTGCTTATCAATACTCCTATGAAAGCTTCATTAGACTTCCCATTCGCCAAGCCTATGTGTTGGCTAATATGTATGATAAACCGGGTCCCATCTTAAGCTCCATTTCCGAGACAATAGCATCAGGCAGCCCAGTTTTATTGACTGTAAGAGCAGTTTCTATGACTACTGGTAAAGATGAAGTGCAGCTGGATTTTAGGACAAGAGCTGCTTGCTTTTAAAAGCTCTACTCCAGGGGCGCCTGGGTGGCTCAGTCGTTAAGCATCTACCTTCGGCTCAGGTCATGATCCCGGGGTCCTGGGATCGAGCCCCACATCAGGCTCCCTGCTCTGCGGGAAGCCTGCTTCTCCCTCTCCCACTCCC